AATGAGAACCATCCAACAACCAAAGTTGTTCTTTGCGTCGACATACATACGCCTCGTCATGACATTTTTCTTGCTGCATTTAATCTTTTTCTTTCCACTTTCGCTTTGCTGGAAAATATTCTAATTCTCGTGGCCCTTTACAAGGATTCTTCCCTTCGTCCGCCGTCAAAGGCCATGTTTTGTTGCCTGGCAATCACAGATCTTTGTGTCGGTCTGATTTCTCAGCCGATCTTTGCCGTGGAGCTGCTTCTCCAGATGAGCGAACAGCAACATCTCTGCTATCACTTAAGTGCGTTTGCAGAAATTGTAATCTTGGGATTTAGCGCAGTGTCTTTGATGACCGTCACCGCTGTGAGTGTGGACAGACTCTTCGCTCTCTCACTGGGCCTGCGATACAAGCAAATTGTAAATCTAAGGAGAGTTACTAAAGTTTTAATCTTTATCTTGGCTTTTTGTGCAACTGGGTCTATTCTAAAACAAGTCTGGAATTCCAAAGTTGCCTTTAGGGTCTTGTCAGTAGGGGTCGTGGTTTGTTTGATTACCTCCTTTTATTGCTACGTAAAGATCTTCCTTCGCCTCCGCCATCATCAAGCGCAAGTCCAAGGCCATAATCAAAACGATCAATTTATAGGAATTCCTCTGAACTTACAAAGATACCGAAAGACTGTTTCTGCAGCACTGTCGGTCCAGTTGGCTTTAGTCGCTTGTTATCTTCCATATGCATTTTTGTTATTTTTCCCGTCTCTTATCCCTTTAAGCGAATCAGCTCAGATTCTTGGCAGGAGATACACAACATCCATTGTGTTCGTAAATTCCAGTCTAAACCCATTTCTGTACTGTTGGAAAATCAGAGGAGTGAGAAAAGCAGTAAAAGAAACACTCACACAACTTTTAGATTCCATGACTTGTTGATACTGAATAACATGGAACATTATAATGGAGGCAACATATCTGAGTTATCAAGAGTACTTGATATGAAAGATAAAAGCCTATTCCTAGCATTCAGTAAGTAAAAGGGAGTGCGATAGCGGCGGTGGAGCGAAAAATAGCTTAGCTACGAGTAGCCGTACCCTCCCCCGCATGGTACCCTTCCATTTCACCTTGCGCGGAGGGTACGGCTACACGTAGGCTAAGCGGAAAAGCGAGGGAGCCTTGGATCGGGGTGTGCAACGCGACAGGAGAATTTGGGTTCCAATCATCCATTCTCCAATTGAATTGGACTTTGTGTCTTGTTACCCAAAGTTCAACTCGACTCTTCTACTGGGCTTTTCATAATAACTAACCGACTAGTTCCCGCCGTTTTACATCACCCCTTGTTATTTCGTCCCCTCGTGTAATTCTCCAGGTTTGAATTTTAATATCATTAACATTATTCTTCAAAGGAAAGCTGAATCAACGACATAGCATCACGGCGGAATTTGCCATACATAATATTGTCGTAAAGGTATATTCCTTAGGACATTTGTACCTCTCTTTCATCATTCCGCGTGTCATTGCCCAAAGGCTTGTTGTTGAAAAGTTGTAGGTTCAAAGTGACCATTATACTTTAGCGATGTCTTTTAAGCGCAGGCACGTCTGACCCTAGTTTTATCATCGTGAATAATCTATTTGTTAACAGTAATAATAAAAATGAATCTAATGCGACCCAAAACTCTGTGGGTGAACTTTATTTGTTTCGATTCTTATTCTTTATTGTGAAAGAACGTTCCAGGAAATAACGACTAAATGATCGCTCATTTTCCTGTGCATGCGATATTGAAATCACCACAAAACGCATCTCATCGATATCTTGAATTGATACGAGGAATACTCACCCTTTCTTAAAGAGTAAATCTTCTAATAATGAATCTTTGAAATGGTCAGAAAAAAAGTTGGATGTTCCTTTGTTAGAATGGAAAAATGAGACTCCCTTTAAATTAGAAATTCCGAACTGGTAAATAATAAAATTATTAAATATTTATACAGCACAGTTTCTACAAAGCATTGACAGCGCTTTGCAGCGCTTGAAAGTTAAATAATAAAATAATAAGTATAGAATATCAATCAAAGTTCATTTCAAAGAAAGGTCTAAGCCATATTATCAAAACTCTTTAAGTCTTAAGCTTTGATTTTAAAGTGGTCAGTCTATCAGGATGCCTTCGTCAATCGGCTGTAACAGCAGAACCGAAAAGTGCCTGGGCACTAAAACAAATGGCCTCATCCGAACCCCCCACCCCATCCCCCCAAAAAAATGCGCTCTCGGTTAGATGCAGAAAAAACTTAGGTTCACCAACACACACATGAAAAACGAATATCTTATCATTTTATATTGAACAGCTTAATATGGTATGGGAGGAAAAATATTGTAATCCTTTAAGAAACAATTCAAGATGTCTCGGCTAAAGTGCTTTCCCCCGTCACACACACACACAAACAAATATACCCGATCAATCTCCTGCACATTTCGAACCAGACCTTTGAGATCTCATAATCAATTTTGACCAACTTTCTCACCGAACGGTTCGGGTGGGACGGAAATCATGCAGATTTAGAATTGATATTACTGGCTTCTATGGCACGGTCCTCTGGCAAAGGAATTTAAAACCTCAAATTATCTTGGCAGGGCTATTTATCTGCTGCGGCAACTGATCGCTCACGAGCTGGTTCGTCGGGAACAACCATCTTGCACTGACCGATATTCGTTCTTGAATGATAAAGGTATGTAGCTTTCTAGTGTGGTAGTCTCGGGGTAGTTGTTTGCTATGTAACAGTTTTTATCAATGATGTAACGGTACAACTTGTACTCGGAACGATGCTCAGAGCACGTCGATGCGTACTTCGGTACTGATTTTGATGGCGGTTCATTTTTAACTAGTCGTTACGTAATTTTACCTGGTAGTTACTAAAACAAGGAATGGCCTAAAATGACCTAAAATGTCCTTAAATGGACTTAAATGACCTTAAATGACCTAAAATAACCTAAAATTACTTTATATGACCCAAAATGATCTTGAGTGATTTCTGAAATGAGTTCGTTGAATATCGTAGGGATCCGCAGGAGGTCGCGTATCTCGAATAGCGCTCGAAACTTTGACCTTGCAATATGGAGCACTTAGGTCGGTCAGTTTGCGAACTATGGCTTCCAACGTGCCTCATGCGCCTGCAACGGAAGAAGCTCAAGAACCTTAAGAAGCAACTGTGGATTGTGTCGCGTTTTTATTAACTGACTGATGAAATGATACGTACCTCTCGCTTACCTTCGTCCATAGTGGCAATTAGGGGCTTACGCTCGATTTTGTTACGCAGACTTTACCTTGCTTTGTCACGCAAAATTTCTAATTTTATTTTACATGATCCGATCCATGATCTGTAATCCAATCCGTGATCCGGTCTGAGAACAGATCTGGTCTGATCCGGTCCAATCCAGATTTCATCGAAGTACAGAAATAAGCAAATTGTCATCGTTCAAATTGAGGAGCGGTCAAAGTTGATTGTTACTATTACTGTGTTTGTTTTACCATTGATGGGACAATTGTTAGTATCTTCAAAAGTTATTTGATCCTATTTTGAACAAAAATTTGAATTTTTTAGACAATTTTCATAGGCAATTACCAAAATAGATAGGTTAGAACACTCGCAATTACCCCCAAACCTAATCACTAGTTTTTTTGTGTTGATAACATTAGATGATGAAAATGGTTATCGAGAAGTCAGTTTAATGGCTTATTTAAACAAAGTTGAGCTGTTTTTTAACAAAACTGCTTCCTAAACAATCGTCAATTAAGCTGAATCTTCAGGACCATTTATTTTTGTGAACAGTGTTAATAGAGGCCAAAACATTTATCTAATTCAATCAACCCCTTTATGGAGAAAGCCTGAGGCCTACTGATTGCATAAAACCATGGTTTAGGTTAGACCTCCTGTAAATAACCAGCCCTTCCTGTCTATGGGGCATTCTTTAATTTACAATTAGGATAATTTTTTAGTCTGCACCTAGGCTGTTTTCACACGCCACTAGATTCAGAAAGCAGTTTGATTTTCTCACTCTCTTTACAATAAACTGGCTGATTGCTTGAATTGTGACTTTTCCTGGTGAAATTAACACGTGCCCATGAACAGAGTGCTACTTATTTCTGAACATGTAAAAATATGTGAATCATCAAACAACACAAAGCGTGCAAACTTGACATCATTATGCCTAGAAATCATGCACTGCAGTCACACATGATTACCCATGACCACGAGCATCCTTGACATGGTTCTAATATAACCAGGAGCTGATTTTGAAAATTCACTTGAAGCTTTTGGCCAATCAGAAAAGAGGTAGTGCATTTAATGTGTAATAATTAAGTTTAATACACACACTGTTTATGTTAAATGTTCCTTACACACCCCATTTAAGTTTATACATCACAATAATACATGGCAATAATTATTGCAATGTTTTTTGCATAAGAATTGTAGTTAAAGATGCTTAATTTAGTTATCCAAACCAGTTTTAGTCAAGCTAACCAGTTATTGTACCCGTAATCATTAACAACTTATTTGTCACAGTGTATGCCAATTACAGAGGCAGTCAAAAAGTAGGCTTTTAGTTGATATTCAGGTTATTACAATTACTTTTCTGTTTGTTTTAAACACTTGTAAGCGTGAGTGCCTATGTAGTTTCCTTCTATTTTTTATATTAGGTTATGTTATTAAATTTTAATTTAAAAATATGGTTCTTCCTTCATTTTGGCTCTTTGGTCTTTTGTATTATGGAAAAACCCGAGTGTCTGACTTGCAGTGGATATTTACCATGCTTCTTTGTGGTTTAATTGGTAAATATCCACTACTAGCCACGTCCACTTCAGTGAAGAGTTGTTAATTTTTACCAGCTTGTGTTGCAATGGTATCATACAGATTGAATGTAGCCTGAATATAATTCTTTTAATTCATCAGTCCTGTTGAGAAAAGTCTCAGTTAATAAATTATTTATTTTCAGGTAAATGATCAAAATGTCAGGGCATTTACAAATCTGATCCTATCACAGTCCAGACTATGAGGAATGCAGAGAGATCTTTTCTCAAGGGATGCAGCAACTTATCAGCATTACCACCTGTCTCATTTTTTCAAATCTGTTCTGGTCCATTACCATGGTAACCATTTTTGCTGTCATGGCCTCTTTCAAGTGGTCTATCTTGCCTTTGGTAGCATGTTTGTTCCTCTCTCTTATTTTATGGGCTCTTTTGTATGTCGTCATCTACCTTCAAATATGGAAGATCATCAACTATTGCTTAAAAACAGACTTGTTGGACATTGAAAAGACCTACATGTCTAACAAAGGTTGCCACATGTGGGTTGCTGAATGGAATGGTAAAATTGTAGGAATGGTGGGACTCATTCAGAATGAAAACCACAAACCAGGGATAGCAGAGCTTCAGCGGATGTCTGTCTCCAAAAATTGTCGAAAAATGGGAGTCGCAAGCAAATTGTTTGAAGAACTTCTTAAGCATTCCAGGCAGCAGGGTCTTGAGAAAATTGTTTTGAAAACTTCAAATGCTCAAGGACCAGCTGTCAGACTCTATAGGAAGTTTGGTTTCAAGCTTATAGAAGGAAAACCTTTCATTCCCAACTTCATCTTTAAAAGTCTGATAATAATGTCTTTTGAACTTGAACTCTGATAGATTCAAAACACAAGGTTTAAAACTGCAGGTTGCAAGTTCAATTACACCTTCAGGTTAAGTTCCTTTACTCCAAGCCATTTTCTTAAGTAGCAATTCAGACAGAACTTGAAGGTGACTTGGGTCAAATTCTTGATTACTCCATGAATCCTTGAATCCTTTGTGGTTCTCAGCTAAGCTGGCCTAATTCATTCAAAGCTAAACTTCGAAACAAGAATTAAACATAACAGGAAAAGTATATCAAAAACATAACAAGAAAAGTATATCAAAAAAATTTCTGTGTTTAATCTATGCAAAATCAGTCAACATAGCTATACCTTGGAAATGGTTGTGTCTCTTGTCGAATACTGAGTGCTACAAGGGATACACAGTCTTTCATAAGGACTTAATCTAATGCCAATGAATCTTTGAAGATGTCCAATAAATAATAGGAATTTCTTTTATTAGGAAGGAAAAATTGGATTTGGTATATTTCTGTCATAATTGTCTATGAGATATCCTTGATCAAGATTTGTACCATAATGATGTGATTAATGAGCAAAGCTGAGTTATTGCCTTAATATAATCACATTTCTGCGGAGAGAAAATAATGTCACCAAAAAAAAAAAAAAAAAAGGGGTCGTTGTCCCTTCCTCTAATGCATATGTCAAAAAATTTGACAGTCGTAATTTCTGTATATCTATCTTATATTGCATTTAACCCTTATCGATAAAGGTAATAGGACTGGGTGGAGTTCAATTCAGTCTGTAATCATATGAGTGATTAACAAAATCGGACGAGCGCAAAGCAGGAGTCCAGTTTGTTAATACGATTATAGAGAGAACTGAACGACACAAAGTACTGTTACCAATTAATCATAACCTCCGCCATCATCAAGCGCAATTCCAAGGCCATAATCAAAACGATCAATTCATAGGAATTCCTCTGAACATACAAAGATACCGAAAGACTGTTTCTGCAGCACTGTCGGTCCAGTTGGCTTTAGTCGCTTGTTATCTTCCATATGTGTTTTTGTTATTTTTCCCGTCTCTTATCCCTTTAAGCGAATCAGCTCAGATTCTTGGCAGGAGATACACAACATCCATTGTGTTCGTAAATTCCAGTCTAAACCCATTTCTGTACTGTTGGAAGATCAGAGGAGTGAGAAAAGCAGTAAAAGAATCACTCACACAACTTTTAGATTCCATGATTTGCTGTCACTGAATAACATAGAACATTATAATGGGGGCAACAAATCTGAGTTATCAAGAGTACTGCATATGAAATATGGAAAGCCTATTTCTGCACTTCTCACAATAACTAACTGACTGGCTCCCGCCGTTTTACATCACCCTTTGTCATTTCCTCCCCTCATATAATTCTCCAGGTTTGAATTTTCATATCACTAATATTGTTCTTCAAAGAAAAGCTGAATCAACGACAAAGCATCACGGGAGAATTTGCCTTACATGATATTGACGTAAAGGTATTCCTTTACCCATTTAAACCTCTCTTTCATCATTCCGCGTGTCATTGCCCAAAGGCTTGTTGTTGTTGAAAAGTTGTAGGTTCAAAGTGACCATTATACTTCAGCGTTATGTCTTTTTATTGCAGGCATGTCTGACCCGAGTTTTACCCTCGTGAATAATCTATTTGTTCAATAACAATGAATCTAGTGCGATCCAAAGCTCTGTGGGTGAACTTCATTTGCTTCGATTCTCATTCTTTATAATGAAAGAACGTTGCAGGAAATAACGACTAAATTATCTTTCATTTTCCTTTGCATGCGATATTGGGATCACCACAAAACACATCTCATCTTGAATTAATACGAAAACTCACCCTTTCTCACTGAGTTAATCTTACAACAGTGAATCTTTGAAATGGTCACATAAAAAGTAGGACTTTCCTTTTTTAGAATGGAAAAATGAGACTCCCTTTAAAGTAGACATTCCAAACTGCTAAATGATAAAAGTCAAACAGATACATTGAAATAACTGGTAAATAATAAAAATATTAAATATTGATATGGCACAGTTTCTACAAAGCATCCACAACGGTTTACAGCGCTTGGAAGTTAAATAATAACATAATAAGTATAGAATATCAATCAAAGTTCATTTCAAAGAAAGATCTGAGCCACATTATCAAAACTCTTTTAGTCTTGAGCTCAGATTTAAAAGTGGTCAGTCTATTAAGGTCTTTTCGTCAATCGGCCCTAAGAGCAGAACCGAAAAGTGCCTGGGCACTAATGTCCTCATCCTAAAACCCCAACCCCCCCCCCCACCCCCCAACAAAAAATGCACTCTTGGTTAGATGCAGAAAAAACTTGGGTTCAGCAACACACACACACGTTTTATTTGAACAGTTTGATATGATATGAGAGGAAAAAAATTGTAACCCTTTGGGAAACAACTCGATACTCAACTCGGCTAAAGTGCTTCTCCCCCCTCCCCCCCTCCCACACACACACATACCCGATCAATCTCACGCACAGCTCGAACCAGACTTTCGAGGTCTAATAGTCAATTTTAACTAGTTTTCTTAGCGGTCGACTCGGGAAATCTTGGAGATTTAGAATTCATATCACTAGCTTTTATGGCTCGGTCCTCCGGCAAAGAAATTTAAAACCTCAAATTGTCTTGGCAAGGCTATTTATCTGCTGGGGCAACTGATCGCTCGCAAGCCGGTTCATTGGGCACAACCATCTTGCACAGACCGATATTCGCTCTTGAATGATAAAGGTACGTAGCTTTCTAATGTGGTAGTCTCGGGATAGTTGTTTGCTATGTAACAGTTTGTATCAATGATGTAACGGTACAACTTGTACTCGGAACGATGCTCAGAGTACGTCGATGTGTACTTCGGTACTGATTTTGATTGCGGTCATTCCGATCGTTTTGCTCGAAAGAAGTAAAATTACCCAGTCCCATAATCTTATAAGGTATCAAAAACGAAACTTTCAGATTACGTGCTGCGACGGTTTAAGTAAAATTTGATGTCGAGCCACCCATTCCACATACGCACGTAAAGAGGAATGTAATGTCTTTTTTCATTTCGGTCCTGTCTTCAGTGAGTTGCGAACCGTTAAATAATTCTTTTACTCCTTCCTTTTATCTTTTCATTTTACTTTTGTTCGTTCAGTAACTTTAACGTCGAGTCTCTGGTATGAAACGACAACCAGCTGAAGCCGCCGTCCGTATCTGTTGTTTTATGAAGTCGTGACGTAATTTTATCACAATTCTCCTGGGCAATTACCAAAATAGATAACAGTCACGATTACCCCCAGACCTAATCGCTCGTTTATTTGTGTTGATAGCACCAGATGATTGAATATGGTTATCAGAAAGTTAGTTTAACTCCAAAGCCGGGTTATTTAGACAAAGTTTAGTCGTTGTTTAACAAAACTGCTTCCTAAACAATTGTCAAATTAAGCTGAACCGTTTATCTGTACATTAATGTTTGTGAACATTGTTAAAAGGGGCCCAAACATTTCTGTAACTAAATCAACCCTACTATGGATAATCTGGCTGATCACTTAAATTGTGACTTTTCCCAGTGAAATTAACAACTGCCCATGAACAGAGTGCTACTCAAATTGACAAATAGGAAATGGGGCAGTTTAGTTATTATGCTTTTCCAAAGCTGCACCTCATCTGTATAGAGAACTTTTGAAACAGTCTAGAAGTTCACACCATGCCAGTCAAATATTTCACAAAGTTTGCTAAATATGTGCTCTTCCTTGAAGAAGTAAAATTGTTGACTTGTAGAAATGTATGGATGTCACAGTGAGAATGGGTCTATTTCTATGCAAAAGCTTAATACTCAAATTTAATTTTTAAACAGTGGATATGGTTAAAGGCATGCTTTGATTGGCTACTCAAACTCTGAATATCCTATGCCTAATTCACCTCTGAGCAACACACATAGGATTTGTACCCAAAGGTAATATCATTGAAATTGTTGCAGGTATAAATGAGTTAAGATGATCTTTTTGTGTTGTGTTATTTAACTGTTTCAGTGTATACTAATAAAAATAACTCCTCACTCCTGTTTCACTGAAAATTTGTTTCAGTACAAATAATTGTAAACAATCATTGGATGAGGTTTTTGTTATATCCAGAATAATCAATAATAGTTAGGGGTTATCAACCCTTACCAAGACCTTGATTATTCTGACTATCAAAGAAACCGAATCTGAAAATTTGTTTCATCATACATTGAATAAGGGGAAAAAATGGTCACAAAAGTAAGTGGAACTGATAATTTATTTCTAAACATGTAAAAATATACAAATCATCAAGCAACACAAAGCATGTGAACTTGACATGATTACCCTTAGAAATCATGCACTGCAGTCATATATAACATGACTACCCATGACCTTGAGCATCCTTGACATAATTATTATATCGCCAGACACTGATTTTGAAAATTCACTGTAAGCTTTTGGCCAATCAGAAAAGAGATAGTGCATTGAATGTGTAATAATTAAGTTTAATGCACACACTGTTTCATATGCTAAATGTTCCTTGCATGCCCCATTTAAATTGACATGTCACAATAATACATCGCAATAATTATTACAATGCTTGTTGCATAAGAATTTTAGTTAAAGATGCTTAATCTAATTGTTCAAACTAGTTTTAGCCAAGCCAACCAGTTCTTGTACTTGTAATTGTGAACCAGTTATTTGCCACAATGTATTTCAATTACAGAGGTGGTCAAGAAGTAAGCTTTTAGTTGATATTCAGGTTATTACAATTAATTTTCTGTTTGTTTTAAACACTTTTGAGGCTGAGTGCCAATGTAGTTTCCTTCTATTTTATATTGAGTTGTGTTATTAACTTTTAATTTAAAAATATGGTTTTTACTTTGTATTAGCTCTTTGGTTTTCTGTTTTACAGAAAAACCTTAGTGTCTGGCTCGGTAAATATCCACCACAAGCCATGTCCACTTCAGTGAAGAGTTGTTAATTATTACCTGCTTGTGTTGCAATGGTGTCATACAGATTGACTGAAACCTGAATGTAATTCTTTTATTTTATCAGTCTTGTTAATAAAAGATTCAGTCAGTGAAATTTTTTTTTTCAGGTAAATGATCAAAATGGAAGGGCATCTACAAATCCGATCCTATCACAGTCCAGACTATGAGGAGTGCAGAGAGATCTTTTCTCAAGGGATGCAGCAACTTGTCAGCAGTATCACCCATCTTATCTCTTCAAATCTGTTTTGGTACATTACCATGGTAACCATTTTTGCTGTCATGGCCTCTTTAAGGTGGTCTATCATGCTTTTGGTAGCATGTTTGTTCCTCTCTCTTGTTTTATGGGCTCTTTTGTATGTCTTTATCTACCTTGAAATGTGGAAGTTCATCAACCATTGCCTAAAAACAGACTTGTTGGACATTGAAAAGACCTACATGTCTAACAAAGGTTGCCACATGTGGGTTGCTGAATGGAATGGTAAAATTGTAGGAATGGTGGGACTCATTCAGAATGAAGACCACAAACCAGGAATAGCAGAGCTTCAGCGAATGTCTGTCTCCAAAACTTGTCGAAAAATGGGAGTCGCGAGCAAATTGCTTGAAGAACTTCTTAAGCATTCCAGGCAGCAGGGTCTTGAGAAAATTGTTTTGAAAACTTCAAGTGCTCAAGGACCAGCTGTCAGACTCTATAGGAAGTTTGGTTTTAAGCTCATAGAACAAAAACCTATCATTACCAACTTCATATTTAAAGACATGGTAATAATGTCTTTTGAACTTGAACTCTGATAGATTCAAAACACAAGGTTTAAAAATGCAGGTTGCAAGTTCTATTATACCTTCAGGTTAAGTTCCTTTACTCCAGGCCATTTTCCTAGGTGGCAATTCAGATGGTTTTATTTTTTTAGGTTTTAAGGAAAGGAATTGAAGGTGACATGGGTCAAAGTTTTTATTTGCAACCACGCCAACTTTCTTCTACCCCCCCCCCCCACCCCCCAGTCAACATAGCTATACCTTGGAAATGATTGTGTTTCTTGTCAAATACTGATTGTTACAAGGGAAACACAGTCTTTCATAAGTACTTAGTCTAAATGCAATGAATCTTGGAAGAGGTCCAATAAATATTAGGAAAATAAAAAACAATTAGGGAGGAAAAATTGGACTTGGTATATTTCTGTCATAATTGTCTATGAGATATCCTTGATCAAGATTTGTACCATAATGATGTGATCAATGATCAAAGCAGAGTTGTTGCCTTAATACAATCTTATTGTCGTCAAATTCCAAACTACTAGTTTCAACTAGACAGAAGTCAAACAGGTACAGTTTACATATTGAAGATGCATTGATAATTTTAGTAATGCATATCAATCATGTCAAATGCTTAGAAGGTCCTTGCGGGAGTCCTGCCTCACCCTGACAGCAGAGCCAAAAAGGGCCTGGGTATTAAATTACGGATGCATGTTGACACAAATCTTGGAAAGAGTAATAAATACTCTCACCCCATCCCCACTCACATGCACCACAAACCCCACCCTCTCTTAACAAAGAATAAATATACTTTTAAATAAGGCAGAGAACAGGGTACAACTACAAACACATTACATGTGTAAACTTATTGAAGAGGCCATTTAGGTCTCTTAGGAAGATGCAATATTTGAGTGAAACCTACCCCTATGGCCTCCTCCAGAATTCTTTTTCGCTATTTAGAGGTTTCTTGATAAAAGGGGTCCGTCAGAACGAAATATTACATGATAATAATTTCAAGAGAGGTTATTTAGTAAATTTCTTATTATCCTATTTTGTGAAGCCTGATACGTACGATAGGAGAAGAAAAATCCTAACTCTTTGAGCAACAACTCAGGATGTCGGTGCTCCTTCTCCGACCACACAGCGCCCTTCATCCCACCCCTAGCCTTCCCTACGCATCCCAATCATTCCCCTATAAAGCTGGCACCAGACCCTCGACGTCCCACATGAGGTAATGAGACATGAAATTGATATTCTGTAGACTCTGCTCCTGGATTTTCCCTCGAAAGTTCAGACGGAAATTTGCAAGATATGAAGGTTCTTAATTTACACATTAGTGGCTTTTATCGCACAAATCTTTGAGAAAGGGTTTCGAAAGCTCAAATTGTCACGACAGACAGCGGCAGTTAGTCGCGCGTTGGTTAATCGTGCAAGGACCATCTTGTACATATCGAGCACCGTTGGAGAGCGTTTGGTCAGTGCTTTTCAAGAAGGGTCAAAACGGTCATCCAAATCTTTGAAAAGCTTCTTACTACGACGAACATCAAATTTGACCTTCTCGAAAACCCCGGTCTTAAATTACATACTAAAAAAAAACAGTCATTGCGATTGTCCATGAGAACCACTGAATATGCGACAAATACGTACAAAAAGTTATTCTACACGTTCAGAATAAATCAAATTAAATTTACCTATGGTAAAAGGAAAAAGGAACGGATTAATTTTTGCAGAATGTTCCGTCAAATTTTACCAATTTCTGCCGCTTCCACCGCCACAATGAAAATAATGCTACCGGCAATGAGACGCAATCTGAGTGCGCAAACGCCTGTAATAGTTAACATACTAACCCTAGACTACTTACACAAAAGTATGATTAGTAAAGCCACTTGCTATATAATTCGATTACTTACGCTACTTGCAACATTTACAGCTTTGACATTACCCACCTTTGGTTTATTGCATTGCTACATTATTTTCTATAATAAGGGGGAAAATTGCAAAATCAAGTCAATGAACAATGTTCAATTTTCCATTGCGTATAGAGTTTGGTTTGAAGTTCAAAAATATTGGGGTTCTCAGAAAAAACCTTACACGAATAAGCATATTGTTCCATAAGAAGCAAGAGAAGATCCAGTCTGTGCTTTTGGATGGAGGTCAACGAAGCTATTTCATTAGTCCAATTGAATAAGAACTTCTGTCCTGAGGACTCACATTCAATTTGTGTATATCGTTAAACTCCTTTATGTTACTTGAATATGTTGAAATAGAGACATCAGACTCTAGAAATGTGTTCGTTGTGGAATCTGCCCTGGAGCAGAAATTGCAATGGTCGTTGGTTGCAATATCAAATTTCTTGAGTTCTTTTATGATAATGATTATCTTGTGTAATATTTTAAATAAAAATTGCCTGAATTCGTCGTCGTTAGTAATCTGATATATCTTGGTAAAATTGCTTCTCCAGTCGAGAAAATTTTTGGGGTGGGTTCTGACACAGAGCACTCATTCAACAAAAAACAAAATTTAACTAAAACATTTTTTTTCTCCATAATATTCAATAGTTTGCACAGAATGAAAACTATCATTCCGATCTATTTCACTTGTCTCGTCGCCACTTTCGAGAAATTCCATTAAAATCTTTGGATTTTACAGCGTTTTCTCTTTGTTTACTCGTCCTCTTATTGTTCGTTAGGAGTTTCAAAGTTGACGTTTCGAGGGTTAGCCCTTCGTCACAGCGAATGGAGAAATCGTGGGTTGTGTGTGTGTGTGTGTTTTTTTTTTATGCAGAAAATGGAGCTACACTATTTCAACCTCCCATTAACCATCCCCCCATCCCCCCCCCCCCCCTTTTTGTTGTTTAATGACCAGTCCCTTACCAGGGCACAGTGTAGGGTTCTTAGTGCGTTTTCTCGCTTCTTAAATGGTAAAGCTCTTAAATACCTGCAGTTTCGTTTTGTTAAACCAATAGGTAATGTCAGCAGAGTTGGGAGTTTACAAGTAGAACTGAATCTGGGGTCATTGTTGATCAGCAAAAGAAGCTTTGTTGAAAATATTCTGTTCATTTTGAAAGAAATAGAATATGTGTATTACACTTCAGTAAAAGTAAATGATTCTTTTTAGTACGTTAGGAATGTTATATACGTCATGTTGATTCCCTTCAGGGATAAAAAATAATTACGAGAAGTTTAAGTTCTTATACGTTTAAGTAAATTTACTGGGAAATAGCTCTTATATTTTTCTTTACACTGACGTGAGACTGTTTGTGTCATTCGCTCTGACAATAGGCTATAACGCTTAAAACGTCTGGTTATTAACTCTTTACGGTGTTCAATTTACGTTATAAACTCAGTTGATAAAGCTAAGTTATCCTTTTAAATTTCCCCAACGACGCAGCACCGCAGTTTCTCTAGAAAATTGCCCCCTTCATTCTCGAATAAACCTGTCTGTCTACAAGCTTTGCTGTTTATTTGCTGAGAAGTGCCAAGAAGTATCAAAGAAACCAAGTTAAACATGATATTCTAGACGAAAGAATGCCACAAGAAAGTACCTCCCGAACAGAACGCCATTTTCCTTGGAGATAACTAATTTCCTTTAGTAACGTAAGATCCTTTAGGGAAATTGAATTAATATATGGAAAGATAGGTTTTGATATCACCATGAGTTTTCAATTTGTATAACACCTTTACATGTATGAAATTCATATATTTGCACTGCGGTGAAGAAACTGATTTAAGAGATCCTCGCAGCTATGAACACGACTGAACTAGTAGTTGAAAATAGGACCTGAAAAAAAATTTAATTTTATCTAAAATCATTATTCATCAATGCGATGATTTATTTAGACCCAACATATTGACCAGCTCCCAGTTGGCTTGTTAGCTCAGTTGGTAGAGCGCTGCACCGGTATATATCGCAAAGGTCATGGGTTCATATCCCGTCCGGGCCTGAATTTTTCAATATGTATAACACCTGTTAGTTATGCTGGTCAAAATCGTGATAAAAAAAAATTCAAACCAAAAACAAAACAAACCAAACAAAACAGAAAAAAAAAATAATTGAAGCTCACTTTAAGGTCTTTAAAGAAAAGAAGCTACAAATTAAGAGCTAGATCGAGTCTGAAACGAAAAACTTTTGTGTTTGAGAAACTTTCCTTCGTGTCGCAAATGATCTCGTTATAGCTTGTTATATTTTTTGTTTTTCATTCTTATTACAATTATACAAGCCATTTCAAAAGTGGAAAAAAAGTATCACAATCAAGAACTGAAAAAAAGCTAATTTTGTGGAGTTAATTGCTTTTTAGGTTGCGATCTTCTCTACACAAGAAATTGCTATGGCAACACCACATCCATCTTTTAGCTAAACGTGCCTGAAACTGTGCGGCAAATTCAGCGTGATCTGCGGCATTTTGTAATGATCACGCATTTTGAAATAATTTACGCATAGTCGTAGCTCGTCATCAAATTCAACAATACTATTTTATTTCTTTATTGTTTCTATGCTTTCGTGACAAAAGTCGAGATTAGTACAATTTCGGTCAGGGTGTTATTTCAAATTGCGTACACCGACAATTATTACATGCCGGAGCACTAATAACAAAGTGTGTAGGTCGTCTTTATTACAAAATGCCGCAACTATTATATCAAAATGAGCAAGTTATTACAGAATGCATTCTTTATTTCAAAATGCGTCGTTGTGAAAAAATGTGGCAGGACACACTGAATTCGAATTGAAGTCGCCCTATCAAGATTATTTATTCTTAGATGTATAAAACTAACGACGACTTTACAGATTCTTTGGCTCGTTTTTGACAAACAGATATATGAAAGCTAGAACTAACGATGCATTTAAATGGGATGTACTAGCCATGGTAACTGTTTCTTGCGATTGGAAAAAAAAAACCCTACATCAATTTTGTTATCATCGAAGCAAAATATAGAAACATGTGCCATTAATCGATCACACAACAACTTGTAGAAAATAACGAAACTGTTCTTGGCCCCCAGAGAAAATATTTGAGGCGTTATTCTCATACCGTTTTCATAGAAGCATTCTTAATTCGCCATCAAGTATCCTTGGTAACCACCACCTCACTTATAAAACCGAAGCACCCAGTTCTCCACAAGCTATTCTTCAACTGAAGGAAGTTTGAGGACTTTGAGTTGATCGTTCCTGTGACAAGTGAGGAAAACATTTAACAGTTAAGTGTATATAAGAACTTACCTTAACTTTCCTTGGGCTTAACTAAAACGGTGTTACTGGCGATCCTAGTTTTTGAGACTGATATATGGAAGAAAGTTCTCCATTTTTTTTGTAGTTGAGTTTTGTTCTAAAACACTGAGATAACGCCCAAGAGGTGGTTTCTTTTAAAACGTATTCAATCGATGTGGCAAACGATGAAATGATAAGTATCAGGTTAAGATTTAACGATAATGTAACCTGTAACCTTTTAATCACGCCGTCTCTGACCCAGCTCTGAAGCCGAGGGAGGGAACATTGGAGTTTCCGTTTTCGCCTATTTTGTAAGGTTTTTTTTTTTTTTTTTTTGTTTTTTTTTGTTGGTACTCTGGGCTTGGTTTCTTGCTTTTCAATTGGCTTCTCTCTTCTTGAGCTTCCTTTTCCATAAGTATAAATAAATCAATTAAAGAGACCCTCAGAAACGTCCAGAGAAGAGGCTTAGGTCTCCTGCATGGTTGGTTGTTGCAGGCAGAATAAATACGCGGCTATGGAATATCAAGCCTTCTACCATGTGCTAGGTCATAGATTCAACCAAATAAGTGCGTACAATGGATCGAGTAGTTTTTGCAACTGACCCGTTTGGCTTGGCTAGCCCATCTGTTTGTCGTTTTGTGTTTATGTAGGGAGTGACTAATTGTTTGCTGAATGTATCTTTTTCTCAGTAATTGCTCAAGATGTCTATTCTGGCAAAGTTCTTCATTTTTGTGTTGTTAAGTGGCATGGTTTTGGGCGGAAAAATCCATGAAGACTCGCCTGAAGGTGGTGAGCTTTTCTTTTCTTATTTTTTTTAAATCGTAATTATAAGAAAGGTATACGTTATTATTAGCCAATGAGAACTCAAAGTGGAAAAAAGCAAACAGCCTAAGGGCGGGAAAACGCGAATGACCAAGCCGTATCTGAATGGCTCAGAGGATGGCGCAAGTTTTCTAGACCAATCACTGAGCAAAATTAAGCAAAACCAAAGTAGTTGCAGATTAATTTCGACACCCAATTAAAAATTGCTCGATCAAGTCAAAAAGTTGAGAGCTAGGAATACAAAAATACTAAAAAAAAACATTCCTCTGCGCTGACGACCTTTGCTTAAACAGTGAGTTTCGATATCGGCTTGGGTATGTAAGCGCCTATAAGACCTTTTTCCTCACCGTGGACGAAGCATTGTCTTCAGGAAAATGTGTTGAACGTCAAATTCTCGTAGCTTTTTTCATCTCTGCTATAGCATGGTTTTCAAGCAATTTTTATCACCCAATCCTCTATCTGGCTCAGTAGTCTAAGAAATCCCTCTTTATTCGTAAAGCCACGTCATCTTTTCAAAAGATTCAGCAAGAGCCGACTCAACTGGATGTATTCGAATAATCTTAAAATCTATAACTAAAATTAAAAAAAAACCATCCATCCCTTATTCGTTTATCAGCAGTGACACACCATCAGGAGAAGCGAGAGGAATGCCCGTTCTCTTGTCTGCAAGGACCGTGTCCTTATCAGTTGCCCCCGACTGGTGACTTCTGTTTTAATCCGATGGAAGTCTGTTGTCAGACGGTAAGGTTTCTATAAATGTCAGATTGCATAAAAAACAAGCTTTAGTGGTCAAATCGGTTTAAAGCGAGGTTCGACTGAGTCCCGTACAACCAAACTAGAGCCATCACTTTAGCCAATCAGGACAATGGAAGAGATCCAAAAGAACCAATGAGAGCTCACAAGGATTTTTTCCGTGCAGTTAGGTTGCACGAGCCTCAAAGACCAATTACAAAAATCCAAACAAAATCATTAGCCAGTCATAAAAAATGGAACATATTAAAAGGAACTATTGTAAAATCAAAACAACGACAAACGTAGCGGGAAGCGGGTATAAGCGGGTATAAGCGAGTGGTCTAATCGCTTTTAGTTTGAGATATTTAGTCATCGATAGCTTCGTTTTACAAGTTACGTTTATGTTACCTGACTCTCATCTTTCATTTTGTTTTCACAGGATTTTTAGCCCTCAGTAAGCGAGTTGAAACTGTAATCGTTTTGACTAAATGAAATAAAAGCATGTAAAACGTTAATGTCGATCACTGGATGCTTGTCTTTTCAAATCACCCAACAACACTTTGCTTTTCCCCCCACACCACAGGCGTAAAAGGGCCAAATATTTTCAAATTTCGTCATGATCGATAACAGCATAAAAACAACGAGGCTGATATCAAGCCATCTTGACGGAACGAACACGGCCACTATCTCAAAAACTAATAAGAGACAGTGAAATGTCCACACAA